TTCTTGGAGCATTTCAGCCATGATAGTGTAATTAAATTAAATGCTGTAATAACATCTAGCAGCAGGGGAGGTGTTGGCTGGGCAGGCACAGGGCTTCTTTGTGGAGCTCAGCAGCACACAGGGGTTTGTCATTCAGGATTTGCCCCCATGGCTGCCCCCGTAATGGGTATACTGACGCCAGCATGTCTCTCCTGATCCACTGACATCCCTGTCTCTGCCAGGGGAAAGGGTCTCCTCTCTCCATGCTGCTGTACATAAAGCCCCACTCCCCTCTATCCTCTCTGAAATACAACATGCAACTCAGTTGATATATTCAGTGAGGAGAATTTTTTTTTTCTTTATTTTCCCCTACTTGCATCACTTTTGCAGAACTCAGAAAATAAGAGCGACAGCTCAGTGCACTGGTGAAGCCAACAGCCAAGAGGGGGCTCTGCCTGAGGAGCAGCTCTGCCAAGTACAGTAACACTTTCTAACACAGCTGATTGAAGCCAAAGAAGACACGAGTGTGTCTTTACACTGTGCAAGAGCCTTGACAGCTCTCAAGGACCAGGTTCAAGCCAGAAAGAGCTGATGGTAGATATGGGAGTAGGACCCAAGCATGATCCAATGATTTTGGATGGCCTACTTTGCTGCAGTGACTTGCCTATATATACTAGGACATAAATATGATTAATTTTTATTCCCCTTTATTTATAAAAAATAAAATGGTCTGGCAAAGTCAGAATGCAAAGAATGGGGCAGGCACACTGCCTTGTTTGTTGGAATGGCTGACAGATTAAATTAAGGTTTAAAAAAAAATTTAAATTAGGGAGGGAGAGAGAGAACAAGTGGTTTCTATTGGCAGAGTTCATTCACAAGTCACTCATTTCTCTTGCTCTTCAGGGAGTGATACGAGACAATTAGCTAATTGGTTTGGGGAGGTGACCTGTCAGTGACTCAAGGAGGAAATGTCTCCTGTGCTATCTGACATAAAGAATATATTTTCAGCCCGTTGTGACAGCTGCAAGCACCCCCCATTAAAATCAAGGATGTAATGGCTGTAATAACGGCAAGCTTGGAATCCATCACAGCGAGTGAAAAGCAATGAAAAACCTGATAACACGCACTAAATTGCAGCCAGAGCTGATATGTTATGTTGTCAGGTTGAAATATTTCTAAATTATCTTATCGTTAGCACTGTGTGAGCACCCAAAGCCTTTCTGAGGTTGAAATGTGTCCCCGGTTACCTTTGTAGTTCCTTTAGCTCTGCAGCTTATCTGCCTTCAGAGCCTGGTACCTGCGTGTCTTCATGATGGAGCCAATGATTGTGTGTGAAGCTGGGAGGACTTGAAATCTGGGATTTTAGCCCAAGCCTTTGGAAACAGGGTTGCTCAATTTGCTAAGACGTTGTGAATTTCTCACATTTTTCTGTTAAGTTCTCAGGACCTGTTCTCAGAGTTGAAGGAATGGCTTCTTGTGCTGGGAGACATTCTTGGGTAGGGCCTGGGCTGAGGTCTTTGAAATATCCCCTTGAACCTTCTGCCCTTAATTTTGTGTGTTTTGGCAAAAGCAGTAGGGGAGCAGCATTAGGGCTGGGGGGAAGCAATGAGAAGGAAAACCAAGTTTGACCAAGAAGGCAGCATTGTCCTCGTGCTCTCAGACTCATGCCTCTGCACCCCTCCACCGATCTCACTGATGCAGCAAAACCCAAAATACTGAAGTGAGCATGTTATAAAGGGACAGCAGTCATGAGATAATACGATGAAGAAAAGCAGGAAGTCTCCTTCAGCCCAAGTGATGTAATTTTTCCACAAACAAAATTTCATTCATGTGAATGTTTCAAAGAAAAAAATAATAAGAAAAGCAGAAATGCAAGTAGGGCAACTGCAGCTTTTAGCTGCCAGTGTCTGGAAGGAGTAGCAGGTCTCAAGTTGGTGCAAGGAGGTACCTGGCTTTCCTTCGGGAGGTGTTGGTCCTTTCTGAATATCAGATGCCTGAAAATTTTATTACTACTGTTATACTTATTATCATCATCATCATTTGGAAATTTTGGCTAGCAAAGTAAGTATCCATCCCATCCCACAGTCCAACTCTTTTTTTCTTGTGCTGTGCTCCATGCCCATACGAAACTGGTACAACATTTGTGCAGGAGGAATGGCTTAGCTCATGTTAATGGGTCTGAGTTTCCCTGCTGACAATGACAAGGATCAGCCCTGGGGACAGGTTCAGCAGAAAGAGGAGATAGAGAGAATAAGCACACCATGTCTGTGAGGCTTCTGGCACCACTGCAGACATCCTCCTCAACCCTGCTCTGCAAATCCCTATGGGTAAATATGCTGCTGGGTCTCCTGCATGAATGGGCAGGACCTGGTAAGCGCCAGGTCAGTCCAAGACCCAGGTTTGGCTTGATGAGTGCAGGCCACCAGTGTTTATGTGATGACTTAGGAAGAGTGATGTTTTCCATCTTAGTGGTGTGTCTGTGTTGATGTCAGACGGTTTCACTGCAGCACAAACAGGAGACAGTTGCTATTTTAATCATTGCTACACAAGATTTTTTCATAAAGGTCATAAAATCAAAATAAACCTGGATGGACTGACCCATCATTAGTGTTTAAACCAGCGATGCACCACTCAGGCATGCCCCACAGTAGGGCAGCAAGGTGCTGGCATGGTTTACTCACACAAAAAAAACCCTGACATTTTTCAAATCCATTGAATTTTTTTATTTGTGTTGCAGAAAATTTCAAAAATACCTAAATTTACTAGGTATCAAACCTTGTTGAAGTGTATGGAGAGTTCATGTTTACCCCTCTGACTCTCTGCTGTTCATCCCTAAAGATTCCGAGAGAGAAAGAGTGGTAGAGCTGCACTGTGCTGGATCTTACAGGGACTGGATTCGTGATGAGAGGGAAATAGAGGCAAATGAAATAATTACCATCACATCAAGCAATTAAAAGGGAGGGTTTATCAGCATCCAGAAGAGCTTATTGCTCAGCCACCACTTTATCTCTTCACACAAGCAGTGTTGGAGGCTGTGATTTGAATACCAAGGGTGAAGCTTTGATTTAGCTAATGACCTCACGCAACATTTGAGGTTGAAATTCCCAAATCCCTAAATTTTCTTAAGGGCTGATTTTCTTAGAAGTTTTGTCTTTGTACCCTGAAGCCGGGTACCTGGGCCTGGAAGAGAGGCTTGTATTGAGGAGCTGTGCATCAGGCATTATGCATCAACCCAGATGAAGGGCTGAGATATCAATTGTATTAACAGACTGAGGTGGGAAATTCTGCATAAATCATATTGGGGTCAGACAAAATTTTAAGTTTTTTTTTTTAACATTTCAAACTTTGCTTTTCCTTACTCAAGAGCTAAATTCAGTCAAAGTGGAGAATAAAAACTCCTTTCTGGCCAGACCTGGGCACCATCTCCCTGAATTCAGGGCATCCCATGTATAGAGAGCTCCCCATAGGGATCCCTCCAAATATTGATCACTGTGGTTAGGTAGGGGACACTCTGCCTGGTTTTGGCAAGGGTAGGATGGAGTTTTTACATTTGTCTTTGGCTGTTTCCCTGGGGCTGGCTCTCATCTGCTCCAAGAGAACTAACACTGGTCCAGGCTGTTTGCTGGGAGGTGTTTACTGAAATCTCTGCATCGGGAGGTTTCTATACATACCTCACTCTGGGCTCACTGCAAACATCCTGCCAGGAAGAGGAAACATTTCCTCTGCCCCGGGATAACCTGCCTTTCTATAGAAAGAGAATTGATGTTTCCGGATGGAGCATATGGACGTGGAAGAGGAGCCTGCACGTGCTCCTGCTGTGCCCCAAGGGTCAGTTCTAACACTGGCCAGAATCAGTGGGATAGCTTCACATGCTGAATGGCATTTGGAGTAGGACTCAGACGAGGGTGCTCCCTGGAGCAGTTTTCCAGGTGCCAGAAGTAGCTTGGGGCATTTGACTGCTTCCATGCAGTAGTTGTGAGTGCAGTAGAGGTCCATGCTGGCATCCCAGGATTGGAGCTGGATGTAGAGGGAAAGCTGCTGAGTGTCATGCCCTAGAAACAAATGCTAAAAAACAGGGAAAGCGGAAAGAAAGAAGTGAGGCAGAGAGGAAGACTCCAGGAAATGAGGTGATTTTTTGTTGTTTTGTGCTCTTTTTTTAAAATAAAACATCCAATAAAAGATTTCCTGCTGCATGAAATTGACAACACAGGAGGGGAAGCTCTTCCTAAATATAACGAGCTGTCTGGCCACACTAGACAGCTCCTCCACGGGGACCCTCGGGTTTGATAGGAGGATGGATCAGCCGATTCCCAAGGAAACATCCACTGCAGCCCTCTCCTTCTCATTCAATGGCAATGGATTGAAACAAAGCAGAACTGGCTCTTCCTCTCCCTCCTTTCCCCCAGTACCAAAAATATCTGAAGTCTATCATGGAAGGCAATGGGAATGGAGGAAGGAGGCGTTGGCAAAAGGGAAAGGCTGGCGGAAAGCCCGGGTCTCTGGCACATGCCTGGCAAGAGGTGAGAAATGAAGAGGATGAGATGGGATATCTCACAGAGTCTGAGGGTGTTGTGTATCTGAGAGCAGGATGTGACTCCAGGCACCAGTGATGTGAGGCTGGGTCAGCTCTAGGGCAAGGCAACCAGCAGGTGAAGGAGTGTCATAATGGGATTTTGACAGTGTTCACGCTCTAGCACGGGCAAGTGGGAGTATGTGGCAGCAACTGGATACCTGCTTGTCTTAATGCTGCTGCAATCCATCCATAGAAAGGGGAGCAAAGGTGAGATCTGAGTGCAGAAGCCAAGAACTGAGTTTTTCTTCTTGTCCCTCCCTGCCATGCCTGGTGCTCATCCAAAAGGGCTCTTCTTATAACCAGCCTCTTTATGTCCTCAGAGAACTGGCAAATAAGAAACACAAAAGGCAAAATAACAGCGGGCAGAGAGTTATGGATGAGTCCCAGCTTCATCTACTGCAGTAGGCATTTCTTGAAAAAGAAAGAAAAATAGTAATAATGGTAAAAAATTTGGTAAAAAAAAAAGGAGAAAAACAAGAGAAGAAAATTACTTTTATGTTCTTCCTGCTGGGATTGCATGGGACCAGCACCAGAGAGGTCACCACATTTTAATATGTGACTCACAGCTTTCTAGGGGCACAGCTTCATTGCTGCAGCTCAGCCCCATCTCTGAAGATCCCAGGTTGAGTTTCCAAAATTTTTTTTGTGACAGTGTTTTGTGACAACTTTTGTTGCTGTCTCCTGGTTCGGTACAGAGCCAGCCTTTGGATTGCTCTGACTCAACAGAGCAGCCAAAAGGCTCCCAGAGGAAGCCAACGCTTTTATGGAGGAGGAGATTATCCACTTTTTAATGACATTAAAATAATAGACAAAAAGCTTTGGGAGCACTGTTATCTGATCTGTTTCTCCACATCGGCCACAGCTGTGGTTAGGGGTTGCTAAGCCCTGTGTGCTGTACATGTCCTGTGCTGCCTGGATTAGGGGGATGCTCTTCCCACAATCAAGCTGTTTCAAAGTTTTAGGGATTTCTGCACCTTTCCCTGGGCAATGCAATACCAGCTTCACTTTGGGGATAACAAAGGCTGGAGGGACTTTGGCCATGAGCCAGGCTATTGGCTAGTAGATCCCAGGTAGTCCTTGAGGAGACATACTGAGCACTGAATGTTCACCATCCCCAAGCCAAAACCTCCCATATCTGAGCAGGTTTTCAGATCCTCCTCTGGAAAACCAAGGGAATTTACCCAGTTGGCAGATGGGAGATTGCTGCTGTCAAGCCACAGTTTTCTTGTATTCAGCACTTACGGCTGAGCCAAGTTGCAGGGAAGTTGTGGCAGGTGGAGGAGTGCCAAGGGGCTGCAGCTTTTGATGGCTGTGGTAGTTCTTGCAGCCTCTTGGAGATGTAAATCAGGAGAGCTTAAAACCAGTGGAGGCTGTCTGTATGTTCACCTAAATGTCTGACATGAGGATTGAGCCCTGAATCTGTATTTCTGCTGCAGTGATGGCTTGGGCCAGGCTGAAGGAGGTTTGGCTGTTGAAATCACGCCTTATTCCATATAGAAACCTGCATCTTCTTCCTGTTGTTTCAAGCCCTTCATTAGGGCATTGCTATCCTGTTGCCCCTCCCCTCTCCCATCCCAGGATCCTGAGTTCTCCAAGAGCAGTCACATCCTTCTAGTTTCACATTAAACTTCTTCAGTTAAATGATTCCTTTCCTGAAAAAGTAAACAAACAAACAAACAACAACAAAAAAAAAACAAAAAAGAAGAAAGAAAATAAATTTCCTTAAATTTCTTCAAATTGCATAAAACGTTTGGACATATGAGAGACTGGGACATGCAGCGAGTGGTTGCTGGGCCTGACTTGAAGACTCCAGAAGAGTCTTATTCTGGAAAAAGCCCATCGGTTCTTTCTTATGTGTGGCATCCTAGACAAGCTTTTCACTCAGCCTTAATCAGCAAAGCCACAAGCATTTTGTTCATCCTATGGGGCTGTGCATAGGGAACACACAGATCTTCCTGGGGTGCAGTTCCTGTGTGCTCTTCTTGTATAACCTTGGATGGTTCCTGCCACGTGATGAAGTAATGATTGTAGTCATTGGTATTTTTACCTTCTTGCCCAAATAACTCCAGGACTCCCTGGAGGAGCTTCCCTACTGCTGTAGGAACCTGCTTAGGGAGCACACAGGGGTGCTGAGACATGTGGAGTAGAAAAGATACCTTTGTACAATCAGGGTGATGCTCTGAGAGGTCATAGGAGGTGAACGGGGCAATTTTTAAAACAAATGGGTTTGAAATGGGGTTTGTTGCATGTCACAAACACTGGCCCTATGTCCTGCTTTGTAGTCCCAAATGGGATCAGTGTACCATCCTAGAACTGCTCTGCATTTCTGTGAGCCTACAGAGGGCAAAATCTCTTCCACTGTGATGTAAGAACTGTCTCCCATGCCAGGAACATGGATTCCTGGAGCCACTGGTAGCCACTGGGCCAATCAAAAAGCCATCTTAATGCCCCTCCCACAGCACCCCAAAACACATCAGGTTTTACAGCTGAATGCAAAGTGGGGTTTTCTCAGCCAGGGATGGGGTTCAGGGATTGGTTCTGAAACAGCAGCACTGGATTGATGCAGTGATGTTCAGCTTTCCCTGCGCTGCTTGGAAATGCATTGGAAATCCAAGGGGGTCGTTAAATCACGGAAGCAATTTACTGTAGGTCTTTTCCACACAGCTCTGAGATGGCCAGTGGTAAATACAAGAATATCAATATTGCAGAGTGGCCACAGGTTTGGAAGTCAGTGACACAGCAAGTGTGAGGCATTTTAATGCTGTGGAGGAGAGGAGGGAGAGATGAGGTGCCAAAGGTTTGCAGGCAGCAACATGTTGGAGCCTCATCAGCTCCTGAGGCAAATCACAGTGTTCAGAGGGTTTCAAAACTCTGTGCCATCATGGAGAGGGTGGCATCTCTGCAGAGTCCTGGGAGCACAAGTGTCCTAGCCTGTACAACAGCACCCTGGTGAACCTGGTACTACCTCTTTCCTCTTTGTTTTAGGAAAGCATCTCTGTGGCACCTTACTTTTGGTAAATTAAGGCAGCAGCAACTCCTGAGAGTGGAAAGCCTGGCTCTAGGCATCCAACAAGTCCATGCACTGCTGTCATAGTTCCTTTGGAGATGTCTCGCTGTGGCCAGCAGGCAGCCTGCCCACAGCAGGGCAATGAGGTTCTTCCAGCAGCTCTGCCTTTAAGCAAGAGCTAAGGTCTGGGAGGATGCAGGGTGGTGGGAATATCTGAACTCCCTCTGCTGAGGTAAAAAATGCTGGGTGAATTCCCAGAGCACTGTGTGAGTAACAAAAAGCCATGCAAAGGGTTTTAATCTCACCTGAACATCCACGTTCATTCCTGATGAATTTAGGGGCGGGAGCAGTAGCTCCTTGACGGCCATGAGTGAATGTGCTGGGTTCTCTTTAGCCCCTTGCCACAAGCTGGGTCTTGTACTGGCTGTTAACCCCCAATGTTATCCATTCTTCACATCCAGCACTGCGAGGACAGCCATGGCCTGGGATAATTCAACATTCTCTTTCCCTAATAAAGCAAGAGGTCAGGAATGGATGAGTAATGCAGAAACTTGCCCCTTTAGTGCAGTTTGAAAGATTCTTCTTCCCATAGTAAATCCCTGTGATTCCAGATGCTTTTTTTTTTTTCCCCATGCAGCTTTCCCTTGTCTTTCTGTAGCTGGGCAGAAGAGCTGAAATGGGGATTTGTCCCAGGTGGATGCAGCTTCACACAACTGTCTGACACATTGACATCCATCAGCCCATCAGAAACAGGCACAGGAGTATGCCAGGCAGACCTCAGCAATTGTGAATCTCTTCTCCTGATGGAAGTCAATATAGGATGAGGCATGAGCTGGGGAAACAGGTCTCTGGCTGGCCAGTGGGAGCCCAGCCCTGCTAAAACTGAGACTGGGCTTATTCACCTTTCAACCTTCCTGCCCCATCATCCTCTTGGCATGTCCTGCCTGATAATAAATTCAGGGGTGTTAAGTGAAACAGCTGTGGATTTGCAAAGAAGCTGAATTCAGGTGTTTTCCAGGAAAAGCACTGCCCATGAACAAGTCTGGGTTTGCAAGGTCACTGCTTGGAGGGATAGAGGCATTTGGTTTGCACCGTCATCTCCAGGCCTCCCTTGGGAAGCCCAGTATCCCTCCCTCCCTGAAATCCTTTCCAAGCTGGGATGTGAAAATAAGTGAAACCTGTTTAGTTGTTACAGGCAGGATTTAATCACCTTAAATTATTCTAAGTGGATGGGGAAGCATCCTGTGATCTCCAAGCCAAGCAGGTCACCTTTAATTTCCTTTTCCTTCCATCAGTAATGCTTGTGGATGGGTGTTTGATTTATTAAGCGCTGAATAACAGGGCTTTCGTGTGTATTGCTGTCAGAGAGATAAATAGGCCCCTTTGAAGGCGAGTTTCAGGGAGGTGGCTGTGGCTTTTGGAATATATATATCCATAAAGCACTGCAGACTGCCCCCTCCTTGGACATCCGTGATCTTTCAGACCGTGCACGGCTCTCCCCCATCCACCCTGGGCCCTGTAACGTGCTCGGAGTGATGATCTCCACCGTGCCCTGCTGGGAGGATGATTAATGCTTGCAAAGTGATTTGAGAACATCAGATTAGTAGGACAGAGCCTCATTATTATATTAGCAATCACCGGATCCTTGGCCTTTTTCACTCTCAGCGCACTTAGAGCCGCATCTAAAAGCCAAGTGCTGTTTACTAGCAAACCTCTCTGCGTTTGGATACTTTGGGGAGGGCGTTTTGTGTTGTTCACAGGTTTATTTTTACTGATGCACCTGCGGTCCAGACTCTTCCAGGGTCCCCACAAACCACTACCCTGCTTTTCAGGCAAACACTGTGAAGATTAAAAATAAAGACCACTGGGTGCTCACTGTTATAACTATAGAAACCAAATATTTGCTTCAACTATAAAAGGCAGGAGTGTTTATGAGTATGAGGCAAAAAGGCATTTCCAGCCGAACTGGAATGTATTTTAGTTCTGCAGACTATTTATAGATAGGCAGCCACTCTAAATTTGAATCTTCCCTTCCGTAAGCAATTTTTTTTTTGTGCCTACTGGGATATATCCTTGTCTGGGGTTTAGCAACGTCACTCCAGGCTGTCCAAACAATTTGGAGTCACCTTATGAGACATGGTGACTTGTTTTGGGGGGTTTCTCTGGCAGGTCTGTGAAGCCACAGAAGGTAGCTTGAAAGATGAATAAGTATTTCCTTTGACTGTAAATGAAATATTTTGATTTGGAGAAATTGTGTTAACCCTTCCAGTGTGAAAGTCAGTGTGAACTTAAAAATCCAAACATAGTTATGAAATGCTAAAATTAATTGTTTCAGGAGCTTGGAAGGGAAATTAAATAATGTTTTTGTCCAACCAAACAAATAAAAATTGCAGAATTATTATGAATTAGCAAAACATTTCTTGCCATGTCTGTCCTAAGACTTAATCTAAAAATCAGCCCTCATCCCTGTGCTTTAGATCTGGAACTGGTAGACACAGAAGAGAAAACAGGGTGTAGGTGGGGAAGTGTGCTTGTTGAACAATCTGAAGACCTGCTGGGAACAGGGCTGTGTGGTGTTAGATACCACTTGCCATTGCTTTGGTGAGCACCAGCATCTGAGAACCTTCTCCTTTTTGGCCTCCTCAGGTATAAAACCTGATGTAAGGGTTGTATGTTCCTCTCTGAGTCCCTCTTTGACACAACAGGTGCTACAGAGACCTAGAGAGTAGCTGTAAGGTCAGGGAGCTTCAGTAAATTTACATGGAGAGACCCAAGCCCCAGTTAGCAGGGGTGGTGAGTGAGTGCCTACATTCCTACTCAGCCTACTCTGTAAAATTCCCTCAGTGATTTCTCTCTTGTCCTTGGTGTTTACACCCTTCAAATATTTGCAGACAGTTGAGTTGCCAAGCCCCTGCTAAGCTGCCGTTAAGCCAAGCTAAACACATGAGCTCAGAAAGTCAGTCTCTCTGGCTCCATGATAATAGTTTGCTTTGTTCTTCTCTGAATTTCCTGCAGTTTATTGATATTTTCCTGGGATCCTGGCACCTGAACCTGATGGTGATACAGGAGGTGCCATCCTAGAAGAAGACCAAATGATGGATAGGAAATCCAGGTGCCTGTGGCATGTGAAGCCAGAGGGAGTGCTGTGTTTCATAGGGTCTAGGTGCTTCCTGGTCTTGTTTGACTAAGTGCAGACAGGAGGTGGCCCCAAGGCCCCTTGGCTGAACCCAGGGACCAGCTAATCAAGGCCAGCTGTTAACCCAGCTCCACCCTGTTCACTACTGATACAGCACCAATCTTTTTGGAGGTCAGTGGATGCCTGTCTCATGCTCCTTCCTTGGACTCATCCCTCCTGTCTTCTCCTTAGTGAAGGTATCTGAAACTGAGCTTTGCCAGACTCAAACCCCGCTGAAAACCTGCAGCATCAGGGGGATCTTCAGAGCTTCTCTCCCAGCTCACCTGTGTGTGGGGGGGCTGCTTTCTCCCATAGGAAAAAACCCTGCTAAATGTTATCTCTAGACATAATGATAATGGTCTTCCTGGCAGATCCTCCAGGTCTCCATTCTTCCATGCTCCTTCTGTTATAATCTCTCACTTAATTTTGCCGTCTGTAGCAAGGGGACATTCTTCTGCATATTGGAATGCTAAGAGAGGTTATCAGGAGTGCTTGGGCTACACAAGGAGCCCACCCTTGCTGTGAAGGACAGCTGTTCTCCAGTGTTTTCTCAGGGTGGAGAACCCAGCAGGGTCTTCATTGCTCATCCTTGCTGGTGGGAGGGTGAGGAAGCCACGTGTAGACAGGTCAGGGATCCATCATGGGTTTCACTCCTATTTACACAGCTGCAGAAACCACTTGAGCTCACAAAGGGCATCCATAGAGTCAACACAAACCATGTGCAGCAGGGCTGCTGCAGCTTGGTGGGGCAGCATCAGGCTAGACTGGGTGTGCAGGGATGCACGGGGCTTGCAGGAAGTTCACAGCAAATGCAAAGCATGGCATCCCCTGCACATCAGGAGGTGATGGAATAAGGAGTGCCTTCCCTCAGACTCTTGCAGAGCGCCAGGAATATCCTTGGGAAAACATATCCTTGGAGGCACCCAGCCAGGGAATCTGAGGTATCAGATACTGGTGTAGACTCCCCATCTTTCTTTCCCAAACCAACAGCCTATGCAAGTTGGGGCAGAAAATTCACGTACTCCATGCATTCTCTAGCATAGCCACAGAAGTGTTGTATTCTATTAGTGTTGCTTTCTAAAGATGAAATGCCTCCAAAGGTGTTTGTAAATGGGGGTCTGTGCAGGAACACAATGATTCTTTTATCACCTGTAGGTGCAATCCCTGATCATGACAAGGCTGCATGCCCTTGGTTCCCTGCTCGCTGCTGTGCAGGGATAACTGCACTGAAGTATGGAGGGTTATGCTGGTGGGAGAGCCACACCAGTGTGTCAGATAAGCAGGAAAAATTGAACTGAGCAGTGCTAGGATGGAAGTGCAGCACCCTAAAACAGAGGTGAAAATATCTTTCAACTTCATTGTGCACAGACCTGAGCCACCAGATCACCAAGCTCAGCCGGCCCTGCCAAAGAATTTGGGGACAAGGACTCACAGTGAGAGCTGGACCTGTTTTTCCCTGGCAGTCCATGCAAGACAGTCCTTACAGCTTCTGAGCAAATCACTCAGAGAAACTCCATGATCCCTTTGGAAAGTATCTGTGGTATTCTGTGACCCCAGATTGCTTGAGGGACACCTATGAAGGCCACACTTGGCTCAGCAGGTCAGGTTCTTCATGAAGGTTGGCCACAAAGAACATTTTCTTCTGGCCTTCCAGACAAGATGTTCCTGTTCCAGGATGGATCCCAGATGTGTGTTAGCATTACAAATACATTTCAAATTCCAGCTGCCAAGTCCTCCACCCCCATCCCAGTCCATCGTCTAGAGAAATATTAACACATCCTGCAATAAAACTCATCAGTTACTGCTCTTTCCACCTCTCTTTGCTGCAGGTTCAGGTTCCCACGGGCTGTTTTCTACCTCTTGGTTTGCAGAACTGGTGCAGGGAGAAAAATTACTCCTCAGCCATCATATAACTGCACTTTCCACCCCCAAAGTATTTTTGCAGATGGCAGTTCAGTCATTGTTTTGAAACATCCCTCTGAGTTTGTGTCTTTATGTGATGCTTGGAAAAAGGTGGCACAACAGGGTAAAACCCCATTTCTCCAGGGGTTTTTGACAGATAAATGGCAGCTGCAAAATTGGATCTTGCAAACTCCTACCTCCCATAATTTATTGTGTTCACTCCCATTCTCTGTACTTCTGCTCATCTAACACCCAGGATATGTTATGAGCTTTATGAAACTAAGAATAAGCAGAGGTTAATGTGTTGCATGTCTATCTCCAAGGTCCTCCAAGTCATCTCTTTAGGGGTGAAATTTCGATACTTTTTAGGTATCCTCATGATCCTTTCTTTGCTTCCTCTCTTAGTATCAAAGTTATTTGGCAGTCCCTTTGCTTGAGTTAAAGAGCATCACATGAGAATGAGCCACAATAAAATATCTGAGCTGTAATGTACTCTCTAGCAGGAATCTGGTGTGATGGTCAGGGCAATGAGCAGGGCACAGGATGGTGCTCCCAATCCCCCCATGTATGAGGGAACCTTGTGATGTCTTTTTGTCATCGCTGCACTTTCCAGGTGCTTTGTCAGTGATGAAAGCAAATGGAGCTTTTGTGTCCTCTCTAATAACCTGAGAGTCCTGTAGAGTCTGAGCACTTTGCAGGCTGCCTTTCTGGGAGGAGAGCAGCTTCATCTTTATGACACTAATGGAAAAACAAGACCTAATTACAGCTAATCCTGCTCATTTCACTTACAGGGCTACTTTTGGTGCTGAGTGGTGTTGACGCTGTCAGTTTGGGTTTTGCTCAGCAGTGCCCTGCTCTTCCATATGCCATATGAGTTACTCTGAATTAGGGATTTCTGTGGAGCAAATCTAGTGATTCTCTTGCTAGAGAAACACAGGAGCAGGTAAGAGGAGAGTCTGGGTATAGGTCTGGATACCTTTGACTGGAGGATGGCCAGGATGCACCTTTGCTGCCTCATGAGCAAATCCCACCTCATGTGGATGGGTTCATCCATCACCCTTCATCATTTTTTCCATTTGGAGGAGGCAACATGGGGAGAAATCAAGGTCTCTTTCCCAAACCCACAGATACAGGGAGGAATGAGCACTGCTTAGGAAGTGGGACCAGGAAGTCTTGTTTCTCTGGCTGTGTCCATTTGGCGTAGGGGCTGAATGTTTCCTTTGTGGTTTGGTCTGTGAAGGCTTGTGTCTAGCCCTTTGCTCTCGTGCCAGGGAGTCCCAGCACTTCCATCCTGGAGCTGTCTCACTGATACAAAGGACATCAGTCTGCACACAACTTCCCCAGCTCTCCCTTTCGCCCTTCTGACCGTTTTGTATTGGAGTGGAGCATGTTTAAGTGGGTCAACAAAGAGGTCGTTTTTCCCAGTGCAAAGTACCCTAATAAATTAACCAGTGAGAATTTTAATAATACATGAAAGGAGAGAGGTTTTCTGCTTTTGGAAAGGCTTTTCAGCTATTGACGGGGTCAACAGCTAGGTCAGTGGCCATTGGGATTCCAGTGGAGGAAGAGGTGGTGGGCATCATCCTCCACCGATGACCATATCGGTGCCATCGGGACAAAACAGAGCTATCCCTGTTTCAGCCCACTGATACAAGTGTTTATATCTGTTTTTGAGCACACATTAACGGGCAGATGGAGGAACTGCTCTGGAGTGCTGGTAATGTGGAATTAGTACCCACCCTGCTGTCCACTCCTTTGAAGCCTGAGGCACACGGGCTTCAAGCTGGGCTTCCAGCTGGTTTTCAAAATGAAGAGAGTTTTGTGATCAGTCAGAAGAAACAGTAGACTACCTCAGTTGTGTCTGGCTGAAGCCATTTTTAATGGAATCATTTAAATTTAAGGAGAAAAGGCTAATCCACAGAAGCCACACAAAACAGTCCTGTTGATCTGGTAAATCCTTGGCTGTTGTGAGGTGTTTTTCAGCACCTCAGCTGATTTACTTCCCTTTGGCTTCCCTGATTTTAAAGTCATTAAATAAGGCAATCTGTCACCATAATCCAAGGTTATTTTTGTGCCTTGTCCAGCCAGATGTATGGCCATTCTTCAGGTCAGAGTCAGAGTATTTAATGTTCTCACTGTGCTGTTGGTCAGACTAGAAACAGGAACGACCAGAAACCCTGTAGCATCCCAAATGTACAATTGCAAGGGCTTCTATAGGCCCTAAATTTTAGAAGGCGGTAGTGATGTGCCATTTATTAGGAGCAGGTTGTCTTTGAATGGGCCAACTTGTCATCCATTTCATCTTCTCATCCATGTTGACTAAACTGTACTACTGTT